AAAATTCAAATTCTTCATAAGCAGAAAATTTGTGAAACAGGAAAGTAAACTATTTTCCTTTGATGTTTTTTTTTTCATTTTTAATCTTTTGAACTGCATGAAGTTACAAAGTGTAAATTTTAAATCATGTAATTATTGAAAAGACGGGGTTAAATGGAAAATAAATATTTTTTAAGATTTTCGTGTTTGATGTATGACAGTTGACAGTTGGCTTCGGTCATCTATGCTTCACTGTTTATATAAATTATTGTGACAGCGTCAATTGAAATCACGCAAAATTATGCCTCTTCTGGTTCAAAACAGGATTATAAATTGAATAAAATTTGTGTTGATGATAAAATCATTTTTGTTTTCGTTTCTTTTCATATATAATTATCATTCAAAACTTTTTTAATCCTATTTTCTCCCAGATAATTTTTTTTCGCATTTATACCCTAGTAGAAATTTTACGTAGAAACAACGTTTTTCCCACGTTGGCAAAACCTAACTTTTATGTATAATTTTATGTTGAAATGTCCCGGTTTATAACGTTATCTGACAACGTTAGTTTTTAATGTTATAAAAAACGTGGGATTTACGTATTATAAAACGTTGCAAATACGTGGGTTTTGTGTATTATACAACGTTGCTTTTATGTATTATAAAACGTTGCAAATACGTGGGATTTGTGTATTATACAACGTGGGAAATATGTGGGTTTTGTGTATTATAAAACGTTGGAAATACGTGGGATTATTGTATCATAAAACGTTGGATTTTTTTATAAATTTGGGTAGGATTTTTCTTTATTATTGGAAAATTTAATATATATTTAAAAACAACAAAAATTTATTGTACAAAAAAAATACTTTGGAAAAAAAATTCCCAATTAACAAAATCTAAAAAATATTATCTAATAATATTATACTTAAAGTAAACAAATTAAATTATAACAAAATAGCTTTAACAAAAAATTTACAATGGTATTTTAAAAAGAAAAAATATTGCCTATATATATATAACAATTTTCTATACAAGATACTACAACTTTTAAATCAATATTAAAATTAATTAAAAATACCCAATTAACAAAATCTAAAAAATATTATTAATATAATATTATATACTTAAAGTAAACAAATAAAAATATAACAAAATAGCTTAGACAAAAAATTTTCAATGGTATTTTGAAAAGAAAAACTATTGCCTATATTCATATAGGTATTAACAATTTTCTAGATACAAGATACTACAACTTTTAAATTAATATTAATAAAAATCTAAAAAATCCTATTTAAATATTAACTATAAAAATTCAAATATAAGTAACATAACTTAAAACATGGCCTAAAAAAAATAACAATGCTCTTCATTGTTATTTTTAAGGTATTTTAAAGAGAAGAAATATTGCCTATTAACAATTATTACAAATTTTCTAAATAAAGGATTAAACAAATTATAAATTAGCAACAAAAATAAAAAGTCAAAGAAATTTAAGTAGTTAGTTAAAATATAAGTCTAAATAAAACAATTAACAATGAAGGTGAGTTTAAAGTCACAAATTTTTAATTTTCATTAAGGGTTTTGATGCTTGGCAAAATAAATTTTAGCAATTACGAATATATAAGAAAAAATGTGAGGATTTTTGCTTTTGAATAAAAATTTAGAGCACAAGCATTAAAAGGAAAAAATACAAGCAAAAATAGTATTTTTGCCTATATTTTTTTATACACTTGAAAGTTTTAAAATTGATTTTGTATAGTATACAAATTTATTTATTAAATGCAAAAGATTGTGACCTAAAATTGATTTACATATGGATATAATTTATTAATATAAAAATTATTAAGAACCTTTGATTGTTAAAAAAAATCTAATACCTAGATTTGGCTGGTAACCAACACACAATGGTAAATGATCTCCTCCAGTGTCAGCAAACATTAGAAAAGTTGAAAAATAGTTTAATATTCTGAGTTTCCTTTTTTCACAACATTTTGTTGTTTCCCTGGGTAACCAGGTGCTGGCAAAGCATCCCTTATTTCCTTTACTTCTGAAAAAATATTGGTTTATCACATCATCATGAACTTCTGATCTGGATCTTTTTAGATTTTTAGCATTCCTTTGAGTAATCACAATTTTTGCCCCCGGAAAGAATTTAGCCAGTCATTGCCAGGAAGGTTTTCTTTAAAACAACTAATTATCACTGCTTTGTGGTTTAGATATGACTGCACTCTTTTGTATCTTGTCTTGCAAAAGATTATCCATTATCCGCAGATCATCTGTGGCAGATGTAATCATTACACTTGCAATCTACCCAAAGGATAGACGATTGTTTATCACCTCTGCCACGGCCAATTCAATATTTTCTGGGTGATAATTTCTTTGATACACTGTTCCAGGAATATGTTTATGCTTTTAAGGCATCGTCACAGAACAAAACTTATTTTACATAAGGCATCGTTCCAAATAACCCTAAAAATCCATGCAAAAAGCAACTGTTTAAAAAAAACACTAACAAATTGTTTGTGGTGATTGTTTAGGTTACTAAAAGTTATTTGCCATCCCTATCAGATAAAAATTACCTTATCTTTTAATTATTTTTCCAAAAAACACGGAAGAATTTGCACAAAATTTCGCACGATGTCAACACTTAACCTAAAATAAAGAAATAAACACTTCGTGATAGAGCGGTAAATTTGAATTTTTCTTCGTTTGTTCCGTGTAACCCATAGAAATAATACCACAGAATTTTGTGATAATACTATGGTGTAACCTCTGTTGTTCCATCACCTAAATACGATAGTAAACCTTTATTGAAACTATAATAATTTTAGGTATCTAAAAGTAGGTTTTGTGTATTTCGGCCTTATTTTTAAAACTATGACTTTAAAAATTGTATTGCATAGTTAAATTTGATTTTACTTTTATAACTAATGTTACAAAGACTAAAAATTTTAAAAAAATCCACATTAAAAATTTTCTCGACGGGACTTAAAATAATTTTATGTTGCTAAATGTGTGTTTTGGAACGTTGCTGCAACGTTTCTAGCATACAATTTTACAACGTAGTTTGAAAGTGGGTTTTGTGTATTTCGATCGTATTTTTGATATTATAACTTTAAAAAATGTATTGCAGAGTTTGATTTTACTTTTATAAATAATTTATTATAAAAAATAAAAAAAAACACATTAAAAAATTTGCCGGCGGGACTTAAAATAATTTTATGTTGCTAAATGTGTGTTTTGGAACGTTGTTGCAACTTTTCTAGCATACAATTTTACAACGTAGTTTGAAAGTGGGTTTTGTGTATTTCGCTCATATTTTTGATATTATGACTTTGAAAATGTGTTGAAGGGTTTTATTTTACTTTTATAAGTAATGTATAATAAAAAAAAAATTGAAAAAAAAATCCTCAGTAAAAAAATTTTCGTCGGGACTTTGAAAAAATTTTATGTAGCCAAACGTGGGTTTTGGAACGTTGTTGCAACGTTTCCAGCAATACAATTCTGCAACGTTGTTTGAAAGTGAGTTTTGTGTATTTCGCTCATATTTTTGATATTATGACTTTGAAAATGTGTTGAAGGGGTTTATTTTACTTTTATAAGTAATGTATAATAAAAAAAAATTGAAAAAAAATCCTCAGTAAAAAAATTTTCGTCGGGACTTTGAAAAATTTTTATGTAGCCAAACGTGGGTTTTGGAACGTTGTTGCAACGTTTCCAGCAATACAATTCTGCAACGTTGTTTCAAAGTGGGTTTTGTGTATTTCGGTCATATTTTTGATAATATGACTTTAAAAATGTGTTGAAGGGTTTTATTTTACTTTTATAAGTAATGTATAATAAAAAAAAATTGAAAAAAAAATCCTCAGTAAAAAAATTTTCGTCGGGACTTTGAAAAAATTTTATGTAGCCAAACGTGGGTTTTGGAACGTTGTTGCAACGTTTCCAGCAATACAATTCTGCAACGTTGTTTGAAAGTGGGTTTTGTGTATTTCGCTCATATTTTTGATATCATGACTTTGACAATGTGTTGAAGGGTTTTATTTTACTTTTATAAGTAATGTATAATAAAAAAAAATTGAAAAAAAATCCTCAGTAAAAAAATTTTCGTCGGGACTTTGAAAAAATTTTATGTAGCCAAACGTGGGTTTTGGAACGTTGTTGCAACGTTTCCAGCAATACAATTCTGCAACGTTGTTTGAAAGTGGGTTTTGTGTATTTCGCTCATATTTTTGATATTATGACTTTGAAAATGTGTTGAAGGGTTTTATTTTACTTTTATAAGTAATGTATAATAAAAAAAAATTGAAAAAAAATTCTCAGTAAAAAAATTTTCGTCGGGACTTTGAAAAAATTTTATGTAGCCAAACGTGGGTTTTGGAACGTTGTTGCAACGTTTCCAGCAATACAATTCTGCAACGTTGTTTGAAAGTGGGTTTTGTGTATTTCGCTCATATTTTTGATATTATGACTTTGAAAATGAATTGAAGAGTTTTATTTTACTTTTATAAATAATGTACCTATAATAAAGTTTAAAAATTAAAAAAAAAATCCTTATTGAAAAATTTTCGTCGGGACTTAGAAATAATTTTATGTATCTAAACGTGGGATTTGGAACGTTGCTGCAACGTTTCCAGCAATACAATTCTGCAACGTTTCCAAGACAACGTTTTAACTACGTATTTCCCACTTAAAATCATACATTAAAATAACGTTTCCAAGACAACGTTTTAACTACGTATTTTCCACTTAAAATGATACACTAAGACAACGTTATGAGTATAACAAATTATTATACAAATTTGCAACGTTGTCTGAATGTATGCAAACGTTATTTTCTACCAGGGTAACTGTACAAATTACATTAAGAACTTTATATGTAAGTGCACAATTTTTCCACCATTGCACAATTTGATAATTGAAAAGTAGTAAAATCGGCCCACCCTATTATACAGGTTGTTTGAAATGGGTATGTCAATAAACTTTCCAAAAAAAAATACTAATTTATTCAATATAAAAATAGTTTTAATCCTGACAACACTAAATTTCATTTAATGTATTGTGACCCTCAATTTGACATCTACACCTTCTTTTAGAAGAGCAGTATAAACGTTGTGTCCCAAAATGAGACAGTTGACATTTTCTGGAAGATTCGAAAAGGTCTCCTTGGTGGTACTATTGACGTAACAAAATGTAGAGACGTTGATGGTGTCCTTCTTCGAGGCTAACTCTATGGTGCACCTATAAGAGTCGTCTGTGTTGGTGAAGACCCAGTAGAAAACATACGAGAGGTGTTCGTTTCTTTCTTCAGATCCTGACACCATCACCCAGAAGGTGTCCACTGGGACTGATTGTTGGAATTTATTACAGGTTCTTAGAACGCTTCTGGAACTCTTGGATTTTGTGAGGTCTATTTTGTTTCTTTCGTATATTGTTATCATGGCGACGCACACATCAACACCGTGCTCTATTTTCTCTATTGCTGCTGCATCTACTGATATAGTTGTTACTTTGCCTCTTTCAGATGTTATGGTTTTGATATCCTTGTGCTCGTAGCGGAAGTGGTTTGCAAACGCCGAGACGGCTATGGTTTTATTGCAGTGAGAGTGGGGGCATTGCAAAGGTTTCTTTGATTGCGCTAAAAGAAACGTCTCGCTTCTTATTGGTTCCAGTAGAGGCTCTGCAGTATCTTCTTCCTCTTCCTCGAATTCTTCTTCCTCTTCGACGGTTTCTCCTTGTACGTTTCTGTAGGATTTCTTTCGCAGCAGCCTCTGGACTTGGTTGGAAGGTAGTTGGAATAAGTCTTCAACAGTAACATTATGCGGTTCTCCGAAGCTATGCTTGTGATTTTTTTCCTCGCTTTGAGGTTCTGTCGTGGCGGTGAAATTGTTTCTTTGTTTCGCCGCCTGTACGATTTTGGAACTGTATCTATACGGTCTCCCGATTCCCGGTTTAATCTTCAATTTCCTCAAAAAATCAGTGTTGATCCGACTCCTCTCGAACTTGCCGTTAAATTGACAGCTAGGACATGTTGAACCTTCAGCAGTGGTACCCTTGTAATTCCTCTTCAACTCCTCGTAACACACCAAACAAAATTGATGCTTCAACGGGCAATGATATAAAGGAGCAGTGTCAGGTATTTCTCCACATACGTTGCATTTACAACTTGTAGCCCAATGCGGTGCAAAATCCATTTTCTTTTTAATTTGATGAAGCTTTATTACATTACTAACTGTAACAATAAATTTTGGCGCTTCTTTTTGAATGACAGGTGTCAAATGTCAATTACATAACCTTAACAATGACATTTACTATATGAAACAGGTCACTAAACTAAAGAAAAATGGTCAAAAGTCAATTTTCTGTCTCGAAAAATAATAAGAAATTTGAAACAAAATTTGTTTTCTTTGAACCTTGATTTAACATCTGTTTTGGTTTATTTTAACTTTTCAGCAAATGCATTTTCCACAAGTTAAAAATGAAAATAAATGGTTTAGTAGAGTGTTCTCTGGCGTCAGTCAGTCTTATTTTTAACCGGTTATTTTTCTTATCTTTATAATTAAAGTAAGTATACAATTACCAGATACGAGTAAATGTAAATATGCATATTCACAACATAATATGTGAACCATATGATTCACATCACCTATGTAGTCTAAAATTACAGCTTTCCTGATAATAGTATTAATAATATAATAATATTTGTCACTGTTGTGATAAAATAGGTAAACTAGGATAGCTCTCTACAGAAACCTTTCCAAGAACCAATATAAAATATTTTGTCTACTCCCATTATCGTACATGTTTTCATTACACTTTTAAATACACATTGACAAGTTGTGGCATTATGGCGATTTAGTGCCTTGTAAAATAATAATAAATGTGAAAATTATTTTATATTTATTATTATTAATTCCAATAAAAACACTTTTTGTAGGTATACCTACCTTTAACATTTCCCGTATAAGAATTTTTAATACTTTGTGATAATATTTTGAAATCATAGCCTAATAAAAAAATCGGAGGATGAAATCATATTTTGAAGTTAAGTATTTTAATATTTTAAGGAACTTAGATATTATTAAGTATTTGTCGTAGAAAAAGTATAGTATGCAACTCGTTTATATATAAACCTTTCTAGGCACTTATTTAATTAAGCACTCGCTCGCCAGCTCGCTCGTGCCTAAATTAAATGCGTGACTAAAATGGCGTTTATCAAACTTGAAACATAATATACTATTAAACGTTACATAAATATAATTTCTAACAAGTTCTTAATTTTCGCGACCTTGTTTGGGATATTGTATAATGGTTGTATCTGTTACAGAATAGCGCTTTATAGAATGGAATTTCTATTTTAATATCAACAATACCTTTTGTGCTAAAGATATCACCAGATTACAGCAAATCAATGATGAAGTTCTGCTTTTATTGTTTTTACTGTTTTAGATATTTCGAATACTAAAGAAACAATGGTTTTGTAAATATTAAAGTAGCATTTGTAAAATTATTAATTAATATTGGTATTATTTCAGCTATGAAAATATCGGAAAGCTTTTGTTAAAGGTAAATATATACGTACCTACTGAACATTAATTTTACGAGGGCATGCCCTCGTAAAATATATATTTTTAAGGAAAAATTGATATCCAAAATTCAGTGATTAAACTTTATAATAGAAGTAGTTTCACAACATGATGCCCAAGCTCACTGTTTAATATTCATACCTACAAACAACTTAATAAAAAATATTTTTAAAAAGATATACCGATCTAATTTATAAATACCAAAGTTAAGTCAACTCGAGAAAATAAAACGTTTTCTTTTGGATACAAACTAATTGAGTATGTTTTTTATCGATTTTCGCTGTCTGAATTGTCCTGATCAGGACCTCGAGGGACTTAGATTTATAAGGAAAGCAGAGTGCAAAATAACGACTAAAAAACGTAGCTTTAAAAGGTTTCCTAGAGATCAATGAAATTCGTCGAAAGATTACTTAAAAATTTTATTTTTATAATTAAGTTTGCAAAAATAAATCCAATTTGTTATTTGACATAAATTCGACTTTAAAGTAAGTCTATCAATATATTGATTAAGATATTCGCATGATATTTAGCGATTAGTTGACAGACATAGTAAATTGTATTTATAAAATTAATATGAAAATTTACAAAATAAAATGTAATTTATCAGTTATTACTTTTTCTTCCAAATTATTTTGTCTCTCTCTACACAAATTTATCAATAAAATTAAATAAATCTTAAAAAAAAACAATTGGTTAGTTCAATTCATGGCACAATTGATGTAAAGAGAAATGTCAAAATTAAATATTTATGTCAGTCAAACTAAAACGTAAAATTTTCTTTTGTCTATTTCGAAGCCTTTAAGAGCTAGACACAGTTTACATTTAATGATTTTATTCACATTTTATAATATAATGGTCAAATAAATTGAGCCTAACTTTTAAAAAGTCATACATTTGTGTATTGAATTATTCTTTGCACTGAATTCCTTTGATAGGCTAATTTTTTAAAACCAATTTAAAATTGACAATATTTCTCTGAGGAACGTTTTTTGTGTAATTATCCGTAATAAATTCTGTAAATATTAAATTTAGTTTGTTTTGTCGGTAATAAAAATTGCAAATATTAGCATATAATTAAGTACATATTACCCTAGTAGGTTATTATGTAAATTAACATAGGTAAGTGCCTAATGACATTAACATTTTTTTCATAGAGTTTGTATGAAAATAGGTTTAGTCGTTTTGTAATTAAACAATGTACATGGGCGTTTCTCTGTAAACTGGGCAACTTGAAGTAAGAAATTGTCTAGGCAAGTTTTTTTGTTATATTTTTGTTGTATTTAATAAATGTTATTCGAGGAATAAATATCGGTATACTTATTAGTATACGGCAGATGAACCAAAAATAGTCCTATTACTTTGGAAAACATTGAGCATTTTCTGAAAAATCTATACCGGGGACTGTTTATAAAATCCGGAGACAAAGTTTAGATGACTTTTTTGGAATTACAAAATAATAATTATAAAAAATAAATAAGTCACAGTAACAAGCAAACAATATTGGTTGAATAATTAAACAATTAGGTTGATTCCAATAGTTACTGTCTTTAATTAATTTAGTCTGAAGTGACCATTTTGCTTTGGTGACACGTCAGGGGACTGGTTTTTAAGGACTATAAAAACGATTTTGATACATTAAAGTTTATTTTATTGGATTTTGAACGTCGAGCATAGGTAGATTGGTTATTATCTTTTGAAGTTATCTACGAAATATTTATGATCTGTTATTTTTCTAAACAATATTAGCTTGAGACAATGAGTTGCCCAGTTTACAGAGAAACGCCCACATAGGTATGTTTAATGCATGCATTTTTTATGGCATTATAAATTGTTTTTTTAGCACATATGCTTTTGTATTTTGTATTTGGGTTTATAATATTTATTATCTTGGGTGGAAAATTACGAAATGTTAAAAAACTTTTTTTAATTTTAAAGATTATTAAGTCAATATTTCTTATAATTTTTTAATATCATAAATAAAAAATATTATAAGAAAATAATTAATAAATAAGAAAATCTAATACAAAACAAATCTTTCAAAGAATATTTTAAAAAGTTTGAGGGTAGGAAATTTCAAAAATGTAAAAAATCTCCAAAAAACACTTTTTTTAAATATGAAATATTTAAAAAAGTATAAACTCTTTAAAGATTATTCTTAAATTAGTTTAAAGGTGTGGGTATTTTTGAATTTTAAAAAGGCTATAAAAAGGTTATAATATAATTTGTTAATAGGATGTGGTTTTCTTATCTCCAAGTGAATAATGCATAATCTCGAGTTTAATACTATACTTTATATACTCCAATAAGTAGAAAATTAAATAATTTAAATAAATTAATAAAATCTGACCTTCACTTTTTACCAATTTTAAGTAGGTATTATTAAAGTCGCCTTCTTCTAATGTAAAAGCCGATTGGTGCAATTCACAGTGAATATTGAAATCGGCCAATCGCTGATGCCTAACAACGTGAATAATGAGTTCATTATTTCCGCTGTAAGGCGAGGAATTTGTAATAGTGTAATTATATACGAAAAAACACAAAATTATGCAAGAAGTAGATAATAGTATATTATTATACAAGAGATAATGCAGGCTATTATTCACGTAGATGAGGTTTAACGGTTAAAACATATCAACTTGTTTTAATGATTACAGTAAAAGTAGAAAAATAGAAAGACTAAAAAATCAAATTTTTCATAAAAATTTAAAAAAATATTTAAAATTGATTGTGTAAAACTAATATACAGGGTGTTTCATAATATATGCGCAGGACTTCAGGATGTGATAGCTCATCCAAAAAGATGAAAAAAGTCGCTATTAACTTACCCTCTAAAATGCACAATTTTCGAGATACAGGGTGTTGAAATTTTAGAAAAAAAAATAGTTTTTTTCGATTATCTCTGGAACCGTTTGTCGGTTTTCTACACAAAAAAGGTACTCTTGGTCATAAGCTCTAAAGTTGACCGTTTTCGAGAAAAAACAACTTTTATATTTAAAAACATGTTCAATTTTTTGAAAAAAAATTTTTATTACTAATTAAACAAAATTTATTTTAACGTTAGAAAAAGTAACAAAACCAAACGATAATTGCAAAATAAAAAATGATTTTTTACACAAATGCTGAAATGTTCGAAATGCGTTACCTTTACGGTTTGGAGAATTTAGCAAAGACAACTTTTGAATCATTTTTTATTTTGCAATTATGGTTTGGTTTTGTTACTTGTTCTAACGTTAAAATAAATTTTGTTTGACCATGTTTTTAAACATAAAAGTTGATTTTTCTCTAAAACGGTCAACTTTAGAGCTTATGACCAAGAGTACCTTTTTTGTGTAGAAAACATTGGCAGTTCGAATAGGCCTCTCAAAACCGTACATTTTTCAGGGGCGTAGAAGTTGAGGAGAAAAACACCCGCTACCCCTTCAAAATCTCCACCAATTATGAGTAAAAAAATTTTTTTTCTGGCACAAAACATAGCTTATTTTGAGTAGAAAATGCTTACAAAAGCTGTTTTTTTGTACGATAAACGGTTCCGGAGATATTCGAAAAAAACGATTTTTTTTCTAAAATTTCAACACCCTGTATCTCAAAAATTGTGCATTTTAGAGGGTAAGTTAATAGCGACTTTTTTCATCTTTTTGGATGAGCTATCACATCCTGAAGTCCTGCGCATATATTATGAAACACCCTGTATATCTATAGATTATAAACGTTTGTATCTTCAAATTATTAGAATTTAGAAATTACTTATAATATTACAAAATATTGAGAATGCATAAAAAACTAAAACAGATGAAAAATATAAAAAACAGGAAAATTCAATGGGAAATTTAAAAAATAAAACTATATTTTTTTATTTAAAATCATTTACCTAAATGTCATAATTGTATTAAGTACATAAACAATAACATGCAAAATTGCAAAAAAATAGTTTAAAAATCGTTAGAATTCTAATTAATTCTAATTAATAGTTGTAATTAATAGTTGTAAACTTCTACTAAAAATAAATACCTACATATATTTGTAAAGTGTATAATATAATTAAAACATTAAAAATGAACAATATTTACAAAATAATGAAAAATTATAAAAAAAGCAAAACACAAAATGGTAAAAATGATAGATTTTTAAAAATTAAAAAATATTAATTAATAATTTATTTATTTATTTAATACGTGTATGATATTTAAATGTTATAAATATATTAAATGAATAAATAACTAAAAACATAAAAATGTAAAAAAAAATATTTTAAAAATCGTTAGAATATATTTGTATACTAAAACCTTACCTTTAATAAGAAAAACTTCTTGTTGACTCAAAAACCCAATTAAAAAATCACCACTAAATATCCTAATAGGTCACTGTAAACACCAAAATGTTCAAACACTTGAACAAAAAACACTTTTAAAGCCGTCATAGAGAAAAAATAGTATTTGACAAAAGTGCGTGTGGCTAGCAGGCAACAACTCGATAAATCAACAATCAACAGGTCCACCGAGGAGTACGAGGACCGTCCGCGTGAAATTGGCGATGGCTCGACAACGAAATTCAGGCACAAAACTGCCGAGTGAGTGGAGCGCCAGCGAAGAGTGCGGCGGCGGCGGCGAACAACAAAAATCTTGCTGGGGTTATGGGCCGGGCGAGCGCTGCCGAGCTCTCAGACAATTGAAGACCTCAATTCCCGCGGTCAGCAGGTAAACTCTCCGGTCCGTCGTTTTCCGACGCCGTCACACCGTGTTTTACACAGTGGCGGTGCAAAAAGGTACATGGTAATTTTTTTACAATTTTAATAAGGAGGAAATTCGTGAAACGAGAAACAATTATTGGTTTTGTATTGTAGTAGGTACTTAATGATAAGTATTTCTAAAAAAATTTAAAAAAATATGAAACATTACAAAATTTATTAACAAAACTCTTGGATGAGAGTTCGTGAAACGGATCACTATATATATTGTTTTCTACATTTTATGAGGTCAATATATTGACCTCATAAAATGTAGAAAACAATTACCTAGGTACCGGTTTTTACACTCAATGATACTAAAATATTAAAAAAACAATTACAGAAGTTATTAAAAAATAGTGTTTGAGACGAAGTTCCATCATGGGAATAATAATTTAAAAATATAATAATATAATAACAGGTTAATATAATTTTATTGTATAAAAAATATTATACAAGAATTTTTATCCTGCGAATTAAAAATATCATAGTAGATTTTTCAAAATTAAATTTAATTTTCATGCCAAACTGATATTTTTAATTTAGTGAATTTAAAATATCCGTTTTATATATTTTATATTTGCATATATTAGTTAAATACATGTTTTGAATTCGCTAAATTAAAAATATCATAGAAGGAATTTTTAAATGTATTAAAAATATTATGTGAGATATTTTTAATTGAATGTGATATTTTTAGTTCATATTGAAAGTTTGGACACCCCTGGTATTCAAAACCTATTGCGCAGACAACAGATATCCTTTTTCTATGGATACAACCTTATAGGTAAGAGAATACAAACCTTATGTATGGTACAGATACAACAGATATCCTTTTTCTATGGATACAACCTTATAGGTAAGAGGATACAAACCTTATATATATCATATGATATATATATCATATGATATATATATATGATATAGGTTTGTATCTTCTTACCTATAAGGTTGTATCCATAGAAAAAGGATATCTGTTGTATCTGTACCATTGATATCAAGGTAGAAAGAAAATAAAAAGAAAATTCAGCTCTCACGAACTCAAGAATAGCCGCTAAAATTAAAATTCCATTAAATAATAACTGAAAAAACATTGTTCAATTATTTTGTTATTTTTTTAACTAAACCGCTTTAATTTTTTGTTCCAGGGCCCCCCGAGGCGTTGGCCTCTAGGCTGTAGCCGACTTGGCCTAAAGGATAATCCTGAAACTTTGCAAAACAGAAAACTTTCTTATATTATCAAACCGCGTCCGAAAAATTGGGACAAACTTTTAGAACACTTTAAGTCAATAATTTAAATTAATCACCTTAATACTGCTGTCTATGGCAAACACGAGCCAATGTATGATTAATTTTGAAGTAGTTTGGGTGAATTTTAATTTGATTTAAAGTGGTCTTAAATTTTACAATATTAATAAGGTTTAAACTTTTTAACTATACCAAATATATAAAAAAAACTCAAGGTAATTATTATAGATATAATAATTATTATGAATAAAACACAGTTTTGGAATATTTTTTATATTATAAAAAGTACATCCAAAAATATAACATAATCATAACTTAAATTTAAATAAACCATTAAAAAATTAATGCAAAATATCAGTGCCTTCTCTCGCTCCTCTTCTTTGGCTTGTACTTCTCCCAATGCCGGTGATTCACAGAGGCAAAATCGTTGCTATGTTCAGCCAGGTCTTTTAAATATTTCGACAGCCTTAGAAGTTCGTTATCTTTGTCTCTGTTCGAGTGAGCTTGACGGAAAGGTTTGATTCGCAGACCGTTTTTCGGGTTCATTATGAAATTTCGTCTTATATCGTCGAACATGATTGTGTTCTTCGAGGAGAATTGTTCGAATTTGCCCCAGATAACACCCAGAGGTTTCACCTTCAAAAATTACATTATTAAATGAGCACCACTTCTTTTAAATTGATAATAAAATGAAGAAAAGACAAAATGATGACAAAATAAAAAAACTAGATAAAATGTTGTGTAGGAAAGTGCAAAAGTAGGGGATAAACATATTTTACCTTATAGAATAATTAGGAATTAAATATTTATATAAGTTTACAATTATTTGATTGATGTAGACTGATTTTAACTTGTGTTTTAAATAGTTGCGTTTATAATATAAACTTTATATATCTTTTTAACTTTGACAAATTCAATAATAATTACAAAAATGTAGTTTTATTATTCCTCTTTTTACTTCCACTAGAAAAATACTAGTGTATTAAAATTATTTCTTTAGTGGAAGTATAAAAAAAGATCAGTACAATCCAGTAAACAATTTTAAACAATAATTTGACTATCTTCTCAACTAGGGTGCAGTAGTCACAGAACTTAATACCAAGTTGCCTAACTAAGCCCCTCCACCCAACCTATTACTCTATGATTTAAAATAATGACAAGGCAAGCCTAATTTTAGCTAATTTTTTTCCTTAAATAATGACAAAAAATTTGCAATATTTTTTTAACAAAGCAATCATATAAAACATGTTTTATTCCTTACAAATGCTTCTTATGGTAAAAGTCATAAATATATGCTAAAGGCTTTTAAAAAACAAGATTATTAATACTTACATCCATAACTCCATACTTGGGTGTATGCACTGAGATCATGGCCAAAGAATCCAAATAAAAGGCAATTTTATAGTTGGGATTACTCACAACCCCCAACAATTTCATCTTTTCCTCAATCCATTTCATCCCAGTGGCAGACCAAATAACAATATCGTAATCTTCATAAGCAGCAGTCAAAAACTCATGCAAATATGGTCTCATTAATTCTGCCCCAGTCTCAGCCACAGATCTGTGATCAAATAGAGTATAATCTATGTCCAATACAAGTAACTTTTTATCTGGACGTAATTCATTGAGGATTTTTACATTGTAGTCTTTAATTCTTTTGATGATTTTGCTGAGGTATACTTCCTGGTTTTCTATTGCCACTTCGTCATCCTCGATATCCAAATCATTGACAACCTCTGGTAAATTTTCAGGGGCTGTATTAACTTCAACAATATCTTCCTCCAATGAACCCATCATCATTACTTTAAATTTCGCCTTTAATTTTAACATGGACATCTTACAATCATCCTCGGGCATTTTACCTGCAATGTAAACCTTAAAATCAACACACAAAACCCCCATTCATACCTTTAAATTTAAGATTTAACAACTTTTGTCTATCCGGTCTGACTCCAGTTTGTTTTTGTATTGCATTTTTCAAGTCTCCCACTGTTTCATTCTCGAAAAAATCTACTTCGTACTCTTTGCCACCCCATTTTATTATCAATTTATTGTCCATATCAGCTTTTAAATAAGTTTTTTTAACCACAATCTGATTTTGACAGTTAAGGCCTGGATGTTTCGGTGATAGATGGCGGCACAGGCCACGTTGTCAGATTTTATAGTACAGTATGTAAAAATAAAAATAGTTGGATTAAAATTAAAGTCAGTGGAATATATAAAAAAAACGTCTTTTTACATAAAACTGTACATGGTTCATAAATTTAAAAAAAATAATTCGGAAAATCATCATTTTTTGGAATTCAAAATTGGTAAATTTCACAAGTTGGCAACATCGGATTTCTAAACGTCAAATTCTTAGGTTATACTTGTTTATAAGCAATTTAAAATTTAACAACACAGTTTTGTGTTGTCTGCTGAAGTAGATAGGTCGTAGACGGCCTTCCTTGAACAGACAATATGGGACTCCCAGCACAAAAATAAGCTGGTAATTAACAGATATACAAAATCTACATCAGATTAAGTAAGTTACAAGAAATTCCCACAACGGATGGTTAAAATATATATAGAAATAAATCTGAACACAGCCATTGGCCATTTGATGCATGTTTGAAATGAAGAAAAAAAATGTTATTTGGATGAAATAAAATGAAAATACTGATTGAACTCCTGAAATATTTGAAGAAAGAATAGAATTATTGATGAAAGAAGAAATTTATATGGATGTTTGTAAAAGGTATGGTTTGATAATTGTTAATAATGTGAATGGGAAATGGAATAAATGAATAAGTCAAGAACAAATACATAAAACAAGAATAATGGTGAAAATACTTATAGAAAAAAGGAAAAGGAAAAATATGGACGATGCAAGAAACTTAAAGTTATAAGACGTAAAACGAATAATATTGATATAAACCATAAACAGTAAGAATATAAATAATAGATAAATGACTCAAGGGATGAGTTGAACTCAGATTCTCTTGATTGAGACCCTTGATCATATTAAATAAATTTTAAAACATAATGAGCTGGCCAAATAGCTTTTAAATTAAGCTAAAGGCCATTACCCCTGAACACAGTTATCTGTGTTCAGATTTAAGAAGAAGAAGAAGAAATTTAACAACAAAAATGTACGAATCCGATAGTTCAGAAGACGAAAAATGCAACGGTTTGATGAAAAAAGCACTTGACGTCGAGTTACCCGATAATTTCGACCCCAATTCGGTGCCGCAAACGGGTTTGTAGGTTGGAATTTTTTGGAAAAATTGTTTGAATTTATTTTTTTAGGTGAAGAATATTTACATCACGTTATTTACGAGAGGAGCAAGTGTAAAGCGTGGGTTACTGCCAAGGTGGACTCTGATAAATTCAAGCATAAGCAGACCTTTAAAATAAATGTGGTAATTTTTTTAAATAAGTTAAAATAATGACTAATATTAATATTATAAAGTTTTTTAGGATGAAAATGTAGTTCCCAAAATAAATAAAGATTTGTTACCCACAAAAGAGTGGCAAACTAAAAAAATAAGAGACTTTACAGAGTTCAGAACATTTATTGAAAGCCAAATTGAATCTGAAGGAGATATAACATGTTTTAATGAAGAAACATTCACTGAAAGAGTATTAAATGAAAAACCTACTTTTTCAGAGTTGATACAATATGCACAATACAGTAAAGTACGAATGATACAAATAATATCAAGAATTTTTGATAATTTAAACAATGAATTAAATTCAAACTTAGGATCATGGATTTATGGTATTTTAACTTTATTAGAAGAACCATTGAGTCCTAGTACTTGTCATACTTTAAGGGAGTTTGCAAAAAAATGCGCCTTGGTGCGCTCTAAGTTGCCTACAGATGCTTCCAAAGAATTGTTTGTTCCTTTTAATGTGTATATTTGTATTATTTCCAGATATTTTAATCAGTTAGATTTGGCTGATGATTTCTAGTAAATAAAAAGTTGTTTAAAAAAATTTGCGTTAATTTTTAATTAATCAAAAAAAACTGACAGGTTAAAATCATAGAAAAATAATAAAATGCCTATTGAAATAACGACCACATGTGTGGATTGTGGACCAGCTTAAATAATGACATATTAAACGAACGTTTTGAATTTAAACTTGTGAAAAAACCCGATGCCATTTTTTTTAAATAAAAAGCTAATAATTAAATTCCAAGAATTCTACGAATTTATATTTTATCTCGGCGCATGCGCGCACGGATCGATTAGGTAATTTGTGCGATGTAAACCGGACTTTTCGTCGTTTTGCATCCGTCTTTGGGATGACAACAAATGTCCAAATGATTTTGACAAGTGCGTGAAATAGAAGGATTTCCTTGCGGAAAATGGAATTGTTCCGTACAAGTGATTTTTACATTTTCGTTAACGGTGAATTTTCTTTGTGGTGGGACCGATATACTGGAGCATGTATTCCAAAAACAGGTGATTTTTAGGTTTTTGTTTAAGACAATACGTTTGTGTTTATACTATAACTAAAATTTTTGTTGAAATAACAAACAATTTATTACACTTGTTCAACAAGGTTTAATACGTTTAATTAGTATGAGTAATAATAAGAAGCGTATTTTAGGTGTAATTTAATTTATAGGTCATATCAGAACAATTATTATTAATAAGTTCAATGAAAACAACGTTTTTTTACTTAATAACTAATAAAATATGCTTATACATTAAATATTACAAATATGATTGCATGCTTTCTCTATTAATAAATTGCCTTATTAATATAAAATGAAAATTAGACAATTGGTCAGCATCTATTTATTTATGTATAACACAATCAAATCATTTATTTAGGTACCTTAATTAAATAATATTAATTTCTTTAATCAAGATGGCTCACATAACCTAACATTTTGACGTTTAAAACTTGACAGCTGTTGTTTGTTTTAGACAGGTTTTAGATAAGGACTTTTAGAAATTTTTTTATAAAATTTTGGATAGTTTGGTAGTATTTAATAAAGTTTTAAAACAGTTATGTAAAAGATTGGTTTCAAGTTTTAAGACGGTTTTAGTATATTTTTTTCAATTTTTGATAAGGTGTGGGACAATTTATTTAGTTAAACGATTTGTTCCCAGCAAACACAATCGTAAAGGTTCTATAATCATTATAGTATAATTTAGTCTAAAGGCCCTATAAAGGTTAACTCAAATGAAACTGTACATATTATGTCGCGTTCACCTTAAATGGGCGTATAACAGCAGTCTTTTTTTATATGGCGCGCTAAAGGTTCTGATATAGCAGATTAAAGTTTCTGATATGGGGTGTTTAAGATTCTATAGTGGTTATTTAAATAATTTTTAATGAATTAGTAAAGGATATATTATGGTAGATTAAAATTTAATGTGGTAGGTATATATTTATTAGATAAGGATATTTTACAACAATCAGAAATTGTTATCTCTACCGTCACCACGGTCGGAATAAAAAATTTCGATTTTCGTGGAATATCCGACCCAATAAATTTAAACAAGCCACATTTAATGCACCATAATAAATACTTTACTTATCCATTACATTAATTAATATATTAGGTAATAAATGGGATCCATAATATTTAAATAAATAAAAAAATCCTAAATAAAAAATATTTACAAATAAGTTCACTTTTTTTGGTAGATTGTAATCTTTAACAAAGAAAACCAGGTTCATGTAAGTTTTATATACAGAAAACATTTGGCACTTAAATTTTTTTTTAAAGTCCGAAAATTGCCATATATGTAGGTCTTTTATGGTAAAATTGCCATATATGTAGGTCTTTTATGGTAAAATATAAAAATATTAGCCTTTTATAAAAATTAATAATTTTAACAAAACATTCTTGTAAACACCCAGTACAAGGAATTCCTTTAAAGCTTTGGCTAAAAATGCCATTATTAAGCCATGAAACTTTGTAATGGGGTAAAGATTGACTCTCCAAAGTGTTATGTGACGAATTATAGAACCCCTTCCCGCCCTAAAAATTTGTTTTGGATTAATTTTTGTACCCGAATTCATATTTTAAATAAGTCGTCGACACGACAACTACATAGGTATCTTATCTATTATTTTAGGATGGGATTTGACGGACGCAGACGATCCGGTATGCCTGGGCATCTGCGACGGAATTGTCGGTAAATTAGAACACAGCACGGTGTTCGACCCCCGCCTACTTTTAATCAAGGAAAGCGTCCCCGTGGGCAACTTGCACGGGAAGAACGTCGTATACAAAATAAAATCGGTGGTTTTCTTACCGCTGGGCCCGGACAACGCGGAAGTGATCTTGACGCCTTGCCAGAAGCACAAAACCATGCCGAAAAATTCAAAAAATACCAACTCGCTGTTCGACATACAGAAAAACGCTGCTTTCACGAAAACTTGGGGCACGCTGAAAAGCGCGGGTAACACGATCAAGAATACCACGCAGCAGGCCGCTGCCATTGCGACTGGCACCCCGAAAAGGCGGGACTTCAAGGACAAGGATAAATTCGAGAGGCAAATAATTGAAGAGTTCTATAAAATTTTCAACGATACGAACTCGTTTTACTATTCGAGAACCACGGATTTAACCAATTCCTTGCAGAGATTGTGCAATTTAGAGAAAGAAAATTTAATTGATCCGAAAGCACTATGGAAAACTGTAGATGACAGGTTCTTTTGGAACAAGTATATGCTCAAAGATTTGGTGGAATTAAATGTAAGTTATCAAAGTTTATTTTTATTAGGTATAGTAGTAACCTACTTCGCAAAATGATCATGCGCACACTGTGTTTGTATTTTAAAATACCCAGGGTTCCACCCTGAAAATACCTTTGCGAATTGGCCTAACATTGTGGTCAAGAGTTTCCTCCTTTATGTAGTCTTCTTGAACAAATATTCAAAATATTCTTCAACACCAAAACAAAACATAAGGGCTTAAAGTACTATTATAGTTCTTTTATAAGACCGTGGTTGTATACTTAATTCCGGTCTACAGTTGTCGCAGAATGTATCCATTACGGCTTACTTCAACGAAATAGTGCTTAAAATGGACTTATAATATGTCACAAGCACTGTGATTGGTTGACGTTAGACGTAAGCCGTAAAAGATACATTCTGCGACAATTGTAGACTGGGCTTTAGACCTTATAACACTGGATGCGTAATGTGCGTAAAAATCACCGCATTTGTTTTTCTACTAATCATATAAAATATAAATAAAAAGTGCAGTTTGAAAAACGAAAACCGAAAAACTATTATTTATTTTTAGAATCCCCTATGCGACCCCTGGATTTTGCCCGTAATACAGGGCTACATACAAATTGAGGACTGCAAGGTCGATTTTGGGCCTGATGTTCCCACTCCGGACCCGGACAAAAATTACGATGTTTTTACGTTGTGTATTTTGTCCCGAAGAAGCCGTTTTAGAGCTGGAACAAGGTAAGAAATGTAAGAAAAAAAATGGTGCCAAAAATATATTTTTTAAGGTATAAAAGAAGAGGTGTAAATGAAAATGGCGAGGTCGCAAATTACGTAGAAACAGAACAATTAATTGCCTATCAAACACATGAAGTGTCGTTTGTGCAAGTTAGAGGTTCAGTGCCTGTGTACTGGTCACAGCCAGGATTTAAGTACAGGCCACCACCTAGAATTGACAAAGGTAAGAATATAAAAATGTGGCGCAAATTGCAAGTTGTCATTTTAAAAGTTTAATATGGTTTAAGAACATTTCAGACAGTTTTAAGACATTATTGACAATACCATAAAAGTTTTAACTTTATTATTCAATTTTTTAGGAAATTTTAGGACATTAATGGTTACAGTTTTTTTTTGTGTATTTAGGTGAGGCTGAGACCAACGTGGCATTTGAGAAACACTTCGCAAGCGAAATACAAAAATACGGACCCATTTGTGCTCTAAATTTAATTGATCAAACCGGTAAAGAGAAAGTCGTTTTCGACGCCTATTCTCAACAAATTTTGAATTTAAACAGCCCGTTTCTGACCTATGTAACATTTGATTTTCATGAATACTGGTAAGTTTAACATTTAATTTAGAACTTTATTTTTAACATCTTAATAAATTTTAATAATCACACAGTGAAAGCCTCTTTAATATTATATATAAAAACAAGTAAAACAAAACAAGGTGGACGCGTGTTCAACCCTTAGCAGGTGGACAGCACGGTCCTAATTCTTCAGGCTAATTCAGTCATTAGGAGTTGATTATTCACATATTTCGCAGCTTTTATTTGGTTTCTGTAGGGTCATTCCATCGTTTTAAAATTCATCAGATTTAATGAATAAAAGAACATATTTATTTTTTCACTCTCTGTATCGTTTGTCATTGTTATTTGGAATGACGCTGTAGTTACTATACTACAGTAATAATTTAATTACTTGAAAATTTAAATTTTATTTAATGAAATAACTGATAATATTTTTGTTGCTTCCAATGTTCAATTTCAGCCGTGGCATGCATTTTGAGAACGTAACAATTCTAATAAACGCCGTGGCTGATATCTTAAAAGACATGAATTACTGTTGGAGGGACAAACAGGGCCACATATGCTCGCAAAATGGAATTTTCCGCGTCAACTGCATCGATTGTCTCGATAGAACAAACGTTGTACAAGTAAGTAATGAGCATATGTTTTTCTTTATGTTTTAAACTAGATGAATACTCGCTTCAGTGGTTCTAAGGAAAAATAAGTACTCACAAAAAGCTTTTTCTAATTGGAGAGAGTAATTAAGTACTATAATGCTTTTATTTTAGACTGCTTTGAGCAAAGCTGTTATGGAAATGCAGTTTTGTAAACTTGGCCTGATATCTCCTGAAGGAATAATTCCCAATAGCATAAAAAGTACTTTTCAATCATTGTGGGCAAATAATGGAGATACTATAAGCAAGCAATATGCGGGCACCAATGCACTAAAGGTGTGTTAATACAAATTTTAAATGTTTAATTTGTATTATTTATATTTTGTTTTATTTAGGGGGATTATACTAGAACTGGTGAAAGAAAATTTACTGGTATCATGAAAGATGGAATGAATTCAGCTAATAGGTGAGTTGAAACAAAAAACATGGAACAAATCTTGTTTTTTTATTCGAGGATATTCATCTTGGCCTAAAACAAGAAGTCCCCTTAAAACAGTGTTATTATTTGGTCCCCTCCTCTTGTAGATACTACAAAAGTCACTTTAAAGTTTCAATTCGTCAGAGTTGTTTGGACTTAATGACGGGCTGTAGACTTAGCCAGCTGGAAGTCCAGGACTTCTGGTCGGACTTGCGCACCGCGGGTTGCATAGCCGGCGAACATATGCCTGCGGAAACGCCAGCAATCGGGCCTCACTTAGCTTTGCAGCAAGAGTACGCGCTCGCGAACCTGGTCTATCACATGAGTAGGTCGGTGTCGTCGCCGAAAAAAAGCCGCAAAATTTTTAATAAAGTGTACACGTTTAAAAATAAAAAAGTTATGCACCCCTGCTTGGCTGGATTCATTTGTTTTTTTGCTGCTTTTTTAACTGTAGCACGATACACAAAAACCGGTATGCTGCTTATGAACTCCGCGCATATAAAGTCACGTGCGAACCAGATTCAAATGTTACAAACAGTTTTGTGTTTTACTACGATTTCTTTTGAGTTTTTCCGAAATTATTGTGTTTTTAAAGTATAAGCCACGCACGATGATTTTGCAACGTTATTCATAAAGTTTTTACTGCATTTATTGAAAAGCAATAACTATTTACAGGGTATTTATAAGCCAGGTTATTTATTAAGTTTGTGTTTTATTTATTGAACTACTTATTTAAAATATGCCGAGCTGTAATGTAAAGGTAAGTAAAGGCAGTTTTTGGTATACCCAATTTTCTGTTAGGTATACTTATAGTAACTTTTCACCCTAACCACGTTGTTTTATAGCTTGCATAAGTTCTTACTAATAATAAAAATTAGAACAAAATTGTATCGGAAACCCGCTTTAAAGTGTCACAAGTAAAAAAAGCAGTTTTGAGATTTTTTTTATTATAATAATAATATAATAATAATAATCTTTATTGGCCACAGAAACATTTTTGACAAGTCCACATTGAAATAAATAAATAATAAAATACATAATAACTTATTACATAGTAAGAATACAAGCCACATTGGTGTTTAAATAAAAATATGTATTTATTTACAATAAAAAAGTTATTGAATTAATTTTGCAATCGTTTCACCGCGAACATCTAAAAAAGGTATTTAAAATAAAGACCTTTATTTTTTTATTAAAATATAGTTAATTATACCTATTAAGTCTTATTTAACACAGTAAAAAATAATTAAAAAAAAATTCTTTGCAATAATAAAGTTTTTATTATTTCCGCAATTGATGCTCTAAAGTAAAACGCATTTAAAAATTAAAACCGTTATGTTTTTTGATTAAAATATAGTTATTATACGTAATAAGTCTTTTTTAACAAAGTAAAAAATAAAAAAAATAATAATTCGATTTTCTTCTATAAACATCTAAAAACTCATTTAAAAATTAAAAACCTTGTTTTTTGATTGAAATATACGTACAGTGAATTACATGACGTCACACGGTGCGAGAGAGATTGCGCCGGTTTTTGTGTATCGTGAACTGTAGCAACAATACAGTAAAATGTGCACTAGGGTGCAAAGTAATATGAACATTCTTCGGTGATTTCTAGATACTACTTAAGCCGTTTCAAAGATGCGACCAGACAAGGCACCATCGACCTAATGTTGGGCAACGTGGTGTCCGAAGACGTGTTCAGCGAATCGAAAGCTGCGCAGTACGACGAAGACAGCGCTGCCACCGCGGAGCACGTAAAGTTACTAATAGAGGACTGCAAAAAGATGCTCATCAACCAACCCGAAAACGTCGTCGGCGCTTGGGGTTTGATAAACGCTGACCCCTCCACCGGGGACCCCAGCGAAACCGAAATGGACTCCATTTTGATCCTCACAAAGGACTCTTACTTCGTCGCCGATTACGACGATCAGGTCGATAAGGTTACCAAGTATCAGAAGGTTTTGTTGGAGGACTTGACGCTGCTCGAATGCGGGATGCCAGAGTCCAGTGCAAATATTTTTTCAAAGTTCAATAAGAATCGCTTTTGTATAAGGATCAATTACAAAGTTGATAATGTTGGTGGTTATTACCATATGTTCAGGTCTACCAATTTGAGGTTCTTCAATAATTTGGCGGTGGTTATCAAGAACGAAGAAGAAGAAATAGGTATAAACGTACTTTTAAATTATATAGGGAACATTTTCGAAAATAATTTCATATACATGTTTCGGGTTTTATTTACCCAAGGACAGAGCTGGGAAAGTTACTTCCGAGTTACTTTGAGTTGAAAGTATCTTAGATACTTTTAAGTATCTTTTTTTTAAGATACTCCCAGCTAAAAATTAGCTTCGGTTTATTTCAGATTTTTATCATTTTAGCTTGTCATCTAATCTTCTAAACATTCAACATCTTATCTTGATCTATCTAGCATGTGATTATTTTAGCTGTAAGACCATTTAACTTGTCAACATGTTAACTTGATAATCATTAAGTTAAACGTTAAACAAATATTAGAAATATTCCCCAACACCAAAACAAAACACAAAGTGCTTATAGTACTTTTCGCCAAGATGTAGGCATCTTCAGAAGCGAAGTGTACCTAACTAAATCTACCATATTTAGTCAACCTTAGCTTATAATTAGTATAAATATGGTAGATTTAGTTACATTTCGCTTTTGAAGATGCCTACATCGTTGGCGAAAAGTACTTTAAGCACTTTGTGTTTTGTTTTGGCGTTGGGGAATATATCTAATATTTTTTTAACATATCACCAAAGTTGTCCTTTTTCAAGTTTAACTTTGTCTAAGCTTGCCATCATTTTAGCTTTTAATTACCTTATTACCTCTTATTATTCCTTAGCTTGTCCTGATTTAAGCCTTATTTTATTTACTGGACATAAAATCGTCTAAAGAATAAACAACAAAATTGTTTGACGGAAAAAAACATTTTTAGAGTCTCTTAAAGCCATTGGGGAGGCTTTTTTGGTCGCCATGGAAATCTGTGGTATTCCCTCCATCCCGTATCGTCAAGGTCAATCTTTAGACAGGCGGAAGTCGAAAATAATCCCCGGAAGCACCGAAAGTAACATGTATCTAGATATAGTTGGTCTGCCACAAATGACGAGGAATGTTTCCGAAACTCAACTTCTAGCTTTAAAAAATGCTGGTAAGTGGAAAATACGTTTTTTAGGATTCTATTTACTTACTAGTGTTTTTTGAAGGTTCTAAAGCTATCTCCAATATGACGCAGCAGTTTTCGAAGCTGAATAAAATCGGTAGCTCTTTTAAAGCAAAGCCAAAACCGCGTGCGAACTTCACGATCGGTCAGCACAGTAAAAACGAAACTTCTAGTGATTCAGAGGAGGAGTACGAGAATATTTTCCAGCCTAATCAAGACAGCGGTTCTTTACAGTACGCGACCGATTCCAGCACTAACAGCGCTCATAATTCCATAGAGCAAGCTTTCGAGGTTGCGCTTGAGGATTCCATCCATAACAAAGAGGTCGAGTGTTTTATGCCTGGGGTGGGTATTGTGATGGGTAATCCCACGGAAACAAATCAACATGAGCACGAAGGTACTCTGCAAAGACAAGACTCCAAAAGAATTGATTTGGCTCAATTAAACGATATGCAACTTACTAGCATAATGCAAAATGTTAGTATAAACCCGGAGATACAAATCAACTCGGAGAGTCAGGATAGCGAAAAGCGCCCCAAAACTTTACATCTGGACCGGAAGTTCAGTCATTCTTCCGGCGAAGTGGACGATAATCCGGACTCGTCGCTAAAAATGGACCGCTCAAATTCAGACTACGAAATAACCTCGAACATTTCCCAATCTCAGAGCGAATCGGCTCTAAAGAACAAGTTTGCGAATATTACGAGTCCTGTGACAAGTGCTACCAAAGACTTGGTTTTGTCGCCTTTTAGTAAGTTGGCCAAAGGCGTGCAGAATTTAGGGGCGAATTTGGATCCGAGAAAATTAGGTGGTCAGCAACGTCAGGTTACGGAGAAGGAAATGGAGGAACATAGGCAATTGGTGGAAAAATGGAAAGATAGCAAAAGCAGGCTTATTGCTTTGTAAGTTAAAAAAAAATCCCGTTTTTTTATAACAATATTGATTAGTAATTACTTCATAGGAACATAAAAAAATATGTTTACAAATTTTTTGTGTTCCCTTTATGATAAGAACCATTGAATCATTGTCAATTGTTCATTAATATTGTTTAGTAACAGTTTAGATGCAGAGAGCTTATAACTTAAATATGTTAATGTATTAATTAATACATAGACATTAGGGTGTTTAAAAAAAGTGATATTGGTTTTTAACTCTAAATTTTAATTTCAAGAGGCTCAAAAATTTTCCATTGAAATATTACATGAAAATGTTTTTTCTTTATTTCTTTCTGCAATCTACAGTAGGGGGCCAAATTATTAGTAACACCTGGAATTTTGATTTGTTACCATCCCAAAGCAACTTTGGTTAAAAAATCTCCACAGAAGTCTTGTTGGTACTAAAAATGTAAAGATTTTGAATTTACACCTTTTCGGCTTTCAAGTTACAGGGGTTTAAAAAAAGTTTTTCATCAATGGTTTAGTTGTTAGACTTAAAAAATGCGTAATTAAAAAAAAAATCAAAATGTAATACTACATTTTATCTACTACAGTTTGAAGATAACTAAATGATTTTTAAAAATAATTAAAATATGACATCTGTCAGATGGTTAACCTCACTTTCTACCAATATAAACCTGATTGGTTTAAATCACAGTAAATATTCATTATTCCCGTTGGTAGGCGGAGCGGTTATTATTATATACGAAAAAAACAATATTATGCAATAGACATGAGTAAATAACATTTTTTTGTATAGAATTTAATGGTCCATATGATCAATAGTCATTTATATAAACATTGGCTTCATAGGTTACAGAAAAAAAATTTCAAAAAACATTGTCGTGTTTTAGCCATAAAAAACGTATCACTTTTTTTGAAAGACCCTTAAAGACATATGTAGTAAATCATTAATTTGTTAAAATTATTTTTGTTATGCAATAGGAGAAATATTAATACATTTTGTGATATTTTACCTCATTGTCAGTTATATACCTACAATTTAAAAACAATATTTTCATTATACGTGATATTGTTTGTATTTTTTGTACAATTTTAGTCCAATTTATTTATATTTATTTATGTTAAAACTAATTACAATGAACACCCTATCAAATTCAGTATTAAAAATTATCTTATTTTTTATACGCAAAAAATTGTCCCACAAAATTCCTAAATATTTTTGGTTTTTTTATTTATGAAATATACTTTACAATTATGGAATAGCTTTAATAAAAAAGCACAAGCTTTTTTAGCATATTATTGTGATAATTTATTAAAATTAGAGTTACTATTGTGGTTGTTGAATTATTAAAAAACATAATGACAAAATTTATTAGTAAACATTTAAATAATTTTTCATAAACATGAAAAATTATTGACCATAAAATTGTGTTTTAAGGTATACAATTAAATTAGGTATATAGACCATGTAATCCTGCCTTGTCCATAATATTAGCAATAATATTAGTTGATTTTTATATTATGTGTACCAAACTTTTTTGTTGCTAATAATGCCAATTAATCACAACCAATAGGTAAGTAACTAAGTGTTATAGCAAACCATGTCAATTATGTAATAATATACAAAAAATAAAATAAAAATATTGAGTTTTTGTGATTAAAATCGTAGAACATTGATTAATTTTATATTTTTCAATAGTCAATAGTAATAAAAAAGAATTAGTTAATAACCATGGTTTTATTTTTATATCCTCCTTTTTGTTGTAGTTTCAGTTAGTGAAATTAAAAAAACCTTTTACCTTTTTTTTATTAATTAAGTAATTTAGGATAGCCGACGTAATTAAAACTATGGAAAAAGAGGAATAATTTATGTGTTGTCTTTTCTGGAGAAAACTTTTTATTTCGGAAAACGATGTTAAAGAGGGTGGGTGTTTCTGTAGAATAGGTCGACTGGGTAATCAAAAGTTTCCATTTTTTTAGCTTATTAACGTGAAACGTGCCGTTTTTTTTTAATTTGCCGTTAAGGAGATAGCGGATATTACGATTGCAGTTATGTAGCTATCTGGGTTTTTACTGCAGAAATGGGTTGTTCTTGGCCTCATGAAACACTCTAAATTTTTTCAGATTTTTAAAATACAGCATAAACTCAAAGGAAGGCTTAATTAATGTAGCTTAAAAAAATATACACATGTTGGTAGGCGACTTGCAGGGCTTTCTAGAAGAATTTGGGCGTTTGTTTGTGCTTCAAGGCGGAGAAAGTTATTCTGCAGATGCCGCGGAGTTCGAGTCCCACCAGAAGGATGTGGATTGGTTCTTGGACTATGTTTCTTTCTATCCTCTGGAATTGCTCTAAAACAAATTTAAAAAATTCAATTGTGCACCAGGTCCTGTAACATTTGCAAAGGTTTTAAAAAATTATACATCAAATTAAAGGGAATTTTGAATAGTTTTAGAAAATATATACATGTTAATAGGCGCTTCCATGCCTTTCTAGATAATCATAAAAATCTTTCAAAACTTATTTGTTAAAAATTTTACATGCAACATTATTTTTTTAAATTCAAAAAGTTTTTAAAGTTATAGGTACTTGAAAAATTCTGAGGATTTTGGTAAAATTTTTGAAAAAATATAAAATTATGCAAACTGTGTTTCATTATGAACTAAAATAATTAAGTCATGGCAGTTAAAAAAAAACATGCAAAATTGTTTTTTTAAATTAAAAAAATCATGGGTAGAGTTTTTAGTCTCACTTAAAAAAATCTTAGAATTTTGGTAAAATTTTTGAAAATATATAATTTAGATACTTATTCCTATAAAATAATCCAAACTTTGTTTTATTATGACCTAAAATAATTAAGTCATGGCAGTATAAAAAAAAATACATTCAAAATTATTTTTTGAAAATAAAAAAATCATGGGTATAGTTTTTAGAGTTGGGATTTTTAGCTGCCACCTTTAGGGAAAATTCAAGTTTTCAATTTGCCTACAGAAGGAGTCCAATAGAGAAAATTGACAAAAGCTGCCCACTAAATTGCACAAATTGGGTCTTGATTTTTTACCATTGTTGATGAGTACTGATGTGTTCTGTTTTGGTAGCATTTCAGTACAAATCAAACAATCAACCCTCTTATCTTGGAAAATTTTTTGTATACATGAAGCTTGGTCTCCTTGTGTAGGCTTCATGGTCACAAGTGATCAACAAAAAATGACAGTTGACACATGTCAAAAATTACATTTTAAATGTCACAAAAAATAACCTAAAATTTACCTTTCAATGTTGTGGGCTTTATCCAGTATGGCAACATTGTTGCTCAAAACAATGCCGAGACTTTTTCTGACCTTGGGGTCCAACTGGTAGTTGTAGGGCATGAAGATGATATCTGCCTTCTTTTGGATTTCCCGAGCCATGTAATATGGACAGATTGACAGGTTTTAGCAGGTCTTCTATGTCCATCACCAGATTCTCTGAGATGGCAGCGTTTTCACTTTCAAACGACACATCTGGGTCTACAAAAAATATATAATTTAAATTTTGAATAATTTACTATTAAATAAAAATTTACTCAGGCAGAATTGCTCTTTTCTTCATCACATTTGCTCCCTTGATCCTATAATGAAAGCCTTCATGTGCTTGTGTGCACTCCGCTTAAGTTCATTCATTGCTTGCGATAACTAAGTATGAGTTCTTGAAACGTATATGATGGTTGGTAAGCCCATGAAGGCTCTTCCGCTATTGTCTGCGTTATTTACCGCCCCTTTATCCACTTTTCCAGTCACTTCTTTTAGCAGACTCCCCATTAAACCATAGATTAGATAAAAACCCTGCTTCTCTGCCCCAATGCTGTTTATTCTCTGCACCTGAACTTGCGCTTTCTTCACTTGCAACCAGCCCAAAGTCGAGCACAGCGACGAGAGGGTCTTGTCGGTCCCAGTGGGCGACTCCAGAACGCCTTTTGTTTTGTTTTGCAGGCATTCAATCACCTTGTCCATGTATTCTCTCTGTAACTCGTACGGTTCGAAGGGGAATTCCACGGCAACGCCCCGTATATTTATCGTGCTCATCCCGAAAATTCTCTTGTTCACTAAGAAAAATTCTTTCGCTTTATCCGCCAAAAAAACTGTTTTATTATAGTACTCCTATAACATTGCGAAATCTGTTTGTTTTTCTTTGAGGTTATGTTTTTTTACCTGTACCTTAGGCAATGAAATAGTATTTCAGAAATACCATAGCCATAACAAGGGGTCTCTGGTTGCATACCTCACAGTATTGTGCTAGCTTTTATTGTATATATTTTATAACAATTTAAAGGGATAAATTTCTTTAAATATTGAATAATCCCTCAAATGGACTTGCATTTTATAAATATAGACCATTTTTTGTTTTTAGCCCCACTCAAATTTGCGTTGTAACAGTGTTTACATAAAAAACGAACATTTGTTTTACAATAATAATCATTATTGTTTGTATACGTCAGTTACTGACGGTCAGTAACAGTGTAAAGACAATATAAAATATTTCGTGTGGGTAATTGTCGTATAAAACTGCAATCGATAAAATAATATTAAAATAATATAACACTATTAAGTTTCAGCAGCATTTTTTTGTAGGTATAATCGTGTCATCTTTGACAGCCACCGCGCATGCCCGACGGGCGATTCGCTTTTGTCACTTTGGCAGCCATGATAGCAAAACAACCGGTAATTTGACATGCTAGGCGTCCTTTTGATAAAATGAGTATATTATTGCAGTTTTTTGTGTTTCGGTGCGATATTTTAGTGCGTGAGTGACCTTTTTTTCCTCTGGAGATGCAATAACAACGATGGTGACAGGGAAAGGGCTTTAAAGGTAAAAATTGTGATTTTGCTTGTTTGAGTTGTTTTTTAATGTTTTTTATTTGTTACAGTGTAAAGACAATATAAAACAAAATATTTCGTGTACCTAGGTAATTGTCGTATAAAACTGCAATCGATAAAATAATATTAAAGTAATATAACATTATAAGGTCCAAGTTTCAGAAGCATTTGTTTCGTGTCATCTTTGACAGAGCCACCGCGCTAGCCCGGGCGATTCGCTTTTGTCATTTTGGCAGCCATAATTGCAAAACGATCGGCAAAGTGCTTGGCTTGGTGTCCTTTCGATAAAAATGCAGATATTATTGACTTTTGTGAGTTTCGTTGCGATATTTTAGTGCGTGAGTGATCTTTTTTTGTCCGGAGATGCAATAACAACGATGGTGACAGGGAAAGGGCTTTAAAGGTAAAAATTGTGATTTTGCTTGTTTGAGTTGTTTTTGAATGTTTTTTTTCTTTGTTACAGGTAGGTCCAGT